AAAAAAAAAAAAAAAAAAAAAAAAAAAACTTTATAAAACCTCGTAATTTGTATTTTTTTGAATTTCAAATCTAGCGTGCAACAATATTCATGAAGTATATAAAGTTGTACGGTATATCAATGGTTCACTAAACCAAAAACCAAGATAGTAGCAATTGAAAAAAAAAAAAAGATTACTGGTTAATCATAAATTGATAATCATACGCTGTTTTAAGAATTCAAATGAAAACAAACTAAAACTCAAGAATCCCGTTTTTTTCTGAATAACAGTCGTACATAACAAGAAGGACATTGCTACTAGGCTCGAGCTAGCAAACAAGACTTGCCCAACAAGCGCAAAATCAACAAATCATCCCTTTGTTTCTTCATCATCTTCCTCGATCTTGGGTGCCAAGTAGAACCTTATATAGCCCATTTCTGCTATCTTATACTCAACCACAACTGGAAGCTCGGAGGACAAGCTAATTGTAACCGTGTTCGACAAAGGAGTTGCCTTTGTGAAGGAGTTTAAGTACCTTAGAGCAAAGGTCAGAGACACAGGCTCGTTCATCTCTATAACCGTAGCTTCCTCAGGCTGCACACAAAAGATGCATACAGAATAATGAGAAGATATATAACAGAAATTACAAAAACAAACAAGTTTCATTTTATAGTAAAAAGGGATCAATAATCTTTTAATGAGAAAAAAAGAAAACTAGACACTATTAATTGTGCAATTTTGTTATGTGGAAACAGATCTAAATTTTATTGCAACCAAGAACTTTTATAGAGTAGCATTACAAAGGCCACAAGAACAACCTTGTCTACTGTGGTATTTTGTCTGCAAACAACGTTAGCTGTTCCAATATCACCTCTTGTTGAGAATTTTACACCTTCCTTGGTTACAGAGATCACAACTGCAATATCCAATAGAACCAAAAGGGAGTGAAGAAACCAACATTCAATAAGTAGAAGCAGATTGAACCTTTTTACATGCACTGGATACTAATTAGGAATTACCCGTGTCACCAATGCTGCTCAAATCTTTACAGATTCTTGCAAATTCAGCAGATGGCATCCTAACTATGGCGTGATACTCAGCTTCGGGGATTCCAAGATGCTCGCTGTCAATATCCATGAGCTTCATTTCAAAATCTGCAATCTTATCTTGAGCTGCAACATATAATTCAAAATGATTAGCATGTAGAATAACGGAAACCAAATCATACAGTGCTTACATTAGAAATATTAAATCAGGGTAACAATCGTGCAACGTAACAGATAGAGAAGTTGAAATAATAGAACCTTCAAGCAGGCCATCAGTTTTCAACAACATTAGTGATTGTTGCGCTACTGCTTTTGACAAACTATGTAATGTGGAAAATTACAATGCTCAGTTTTTTGGATGGTGATGAACAATATGTAATATCAGGTACCGGCGTACCGCCTAAGATGAACTACAAAGGGAACTTTGTAATTACTATTAAGCAAATCACCATTCATCATATTAATACAATAATTAGACTTCGTGTGGAGTCTTGTTTCCTTTTTTTTACAACTATTCTTACCATTACATAACTAAATATATAACCAAATTGAGTTATCATATAAATTGAAACTCATCGACAAAATGATTACAATTTCAGAAACCATATAACAGCACTTGTAAGAAGTTAAAGTCTAGGTTCTATAAATCAAAAGGGGTCAGTCCACTAAAACTCACAAGCACTACAAACATCTTCAACATGATAAGGTTCCAATAAAATTTCAAGATCCTATATTTATAACATTTTTTTCTTTTCAAAAATTGTCAACCCCCAGCTCAAACAAGAATGGCAGAATCCCAATTAATTTTCAAGAAACAAAAGTTAAGGCTGGTCCCCAAGCAAAACATCATAAAATCAATCAGCTATCGGTAAAAGCGAACAGAAAGCTGAAACTTCAAAACATAATCCTCACCTGTGTGGAACCATATCATTCCCACTAGTATAGACAAATCAAAAGGACATATCAGTTTGAAACCAAAACGAAAATATGAAATGCAACGATCCTTTTACAACGGGTAGTTTCACCAAAACAAACAAGGACAGAACAACTAGCCACACGCATAAAAAAAATGGGACAGAGACTACTAAAAACAAATTTGAGGACGAAAGGGCAAAAGCATCACAACATACTTGGGCTCTCGAACATGAAGGTGACCGTGTCGCTGCCATCATCCGCCTTGATGGTGATGATGTCATCATTTCCGGCACACTTGAGCATCTTGGCCATGTTGCCGAGGTTCATACCCATGGACAGGTTGCGGTCGCACCTGTAGTGCTCGAAGCCCTCAGATCTGAGCAGCAGCGCCACCAGCGCCACGTGGCTGGAGTCCATGGCCTGGAGGGAGAATCCGGTGGCAGAGCAGTCGAAATTGGCATCGTTCACCAGATCCTTAATCGCTTCCAGAACCTTCTTCAGCAGGCTCCCCTGCACGAGCCTCAGCTCCAACATCCCTGCAGATTGAAGCTCGCTGTTTTGAGGCGGAAATGGTAGCGATTGAAGATTTGAGAGTGGGTTTTGGGGGCAAAATGGGGGCTGCTAGGGTTTATAAGGAAATTGGGGGGTAGTGTGCTCGGGAATCTAGGGATTTTTTAATTGGCGGGAATTTGGGTTGAAATAGGCAGCGTGTACAATCTCAGTTCCCGCCACGATTTTCCGCTATTTTATCTTTTGGAGGTTTTCTCTATGTATTTTTTTAATAATTTGTTTAAAATATTCTAATACGACCTCTCGTTTAATTAACAGTTAATAGATATTTATTAATATTTATAAATTAAAAATATTTATTAAATATTATTTATAAATTAAAAATATGAAAATAATTTATTGAATATATTATATGAAATTTAAATTGAGTAAAATTAAATTAAATGTATCTGTTTAAAATTAGTACACAACTCGTATAGTAATAAATTAAATTAGATTCACTCTAATATAAGTGTCACTTTAAATTTAACATTCAGAAGTTCGATTTGACTACAATATGTTTTTAAATAAATAAATATTTTGATAAAATTTTATCATATATTTAAAAAAATAATGTGAATAATACGTATAATTATATAACTCATATTGCTATTGTTGGTAGCAGTTTGATCACGAGTAATAGAAGAATGACGCGTAGCAAAACAAACAGAGGCTCAAAAAATATACATACACGTAGCATATTTTGTCAAGTAAAATTTCGACCCGACCTGGATTGTTGTCCAACTGACTTGGAGTGTTGTCTAGTTGATTATGAAGTTAAAATAAGGGTCAGGTCCTCAAATACTGATCTGGATTGTTAATCAACTGCTCTAGAGTGATGTCCATGTAATTAGGACCTCAAAATAAGGGTCAGATTATCAGATACCGACCAGGATTATTGTTCAGTCAACCTGAAGTTCTAGATTACTAGAACCTCAAAATGAGGGTAAGATCCTCAAATACCAACTTGTATTGCTTCCCAACCGACTTGCAGTGCTGTCCAATTGACTATGACCTTAAAATTAGTGTCAGACCCTCATAAGCTGACATGGATTGCTATTCATCTGGCCTAAAGTGTTGTCCTGCTAATAATGATCTCAAAGTGAGGGTCAGATCCTCAAATACCAACCCGAATCATTGTCCAACCTACCTGAAGTGTTATCTAGTTGATGTTTGTCCCATTTTTGTGTCGTTTTAGGTCATTATTTTACCCTTTTTTTTCCTCCCATATTGAGTCGTTTAGGTAGTTTTATGATCTTTTTGTCGTTTATTTTGTGTTTTGCGTTCATTTGAGTGTTTCAGTGTTTTCCGTTTGTTTTCTGGTCTTTTTCTGTTTTCTTTTTGTTTTTGGTGCGTAGTTTGGAGTCCCCGGAGGAACAGGTTTTCGAGAATCTATTGGGGAAGCTGACACCATTAGAAAGACGGGCTCGTTAGCGACGTGTAGGAAAAAACAGAAATCAATTCCGAGTCCGAACGAGCCCGTACGAGCAAAAACAAAGACGACGCGCAAAACCGCCCAGGCCGTAGCGCCGCTATGGCCAACCCAGATAGCGGCGCTATTCCAGCCATAGCGGCGCTATGTCCATAGCGCCGCTATGTCCTGTTTTGTAACTGACGCGATTTTCGTGAATTTTGAATGGGGAAATGATAATAGATCGAACCTAGGGCAAAAAGGCTCATTCCATACTTTGTATTTTCAAGTTTTTTTCTCTCTAGACACATACCTTTTCTCTTGTCTTTCATTTTGGATTGGATTGGGAGAGTAAAAACTCCTTCTCTAGCTCTTGGATTCAAGATTGTTCATCGAATTCGATTTTGGAATTTTATCAACCGTAAGAATCTTTTTTAATTTAACCATTAATTATTAATTCTTGGGTTGTGAATGCTTTTGTTGATTCTTTGACTATGAGTAGCTAAATCTTTATGCTAGGGATAGGGGATTGATGTTTTGATATCGTTTGTGATTGTGGGTATTCGTTGATTGTTCGTCTTATGCGAGTTAGTCTTTAATTAGGGTTTCTCAATTGTCAGGCTTGAGTATTGAAAATTGTTGAAGGGTGACACTTCAATTTACAATTGTTCTAATTGAATTTGATTTATTCGTGCTTGATATTGGTAATTCTATTGATTAGTTGGTTAACTACCCTCTAGTCTTCTTTAATCGATTCTTAGAACCGAAAGGGGAGGAATCGGTCGAAATAGGCTCGCATAAGCTAGACTTGTTCGTAACTGTATTGCCTAGGAGTTAAATGACTTGGTAATTTGCCGTTCTAGTTTGTTCTCTTGTTACGAAGAATTATTGAGAATGAGTACTTGAACGTATATGTTATTCAAATCACTTAACTCAACAATAACTTGCCCACTGATTGCAATTCGAACCAAAACGGATATCCCCGACTCCCTAGCTCCTTAAATCCTAATTGTTCTTTGTTATTGCTTTGATATTTTTATTGCTTTATTTGAATTTTCGCAGTAGTCGATAATTAAAACCAATCAAATCTCTGAATTAGTATGTTTAGGAGTTTTATTTCTTTTTATGTGGTTGAGTAAACGTACAGAATATTCCGGCTAACCTTCCTCGTGAGACACGACCCGATGTTCGAATCTTTCGATTCTACTCCGGTAAAAATATTTACAACAGTTGACTATGACCTCAGACATAGGGCCAATTCTCAGATACCTACCTGAAATATTGTCCAACCGACCTGAAGTGTTGTTTAGCCGACATGAAGTGTTGTCCAACTGACTAGAACCTCAATTGGATGAGCATGTACTTAGGTATCGACCTAGGGTGCTGTCCACCCGACTTAGAATGTTGACTGTCCACACCAATAATTGAGAGATTAAGACTTATTGTATTACGTAATAAATAGTAACTTGTACTACACGAGATGAATAATACCAAATTTACTACACCATAAAGCACAAAGTAACCTCATCCAAAAGAAGGATGAAAAACTGAAGAAGAGGATTTTGATCCATGAAAATAAAAATAAATGTATCTATTAATTATCTATTTTTCTCGTCTTTTTGTACAAATTAAACTATGTATTTTCATTGTTATTGAAACGTGGGCCGGGTATACTACGTACAATGTGCTCAATTGTGTTAGAACACAGAATGGTTATATATTTTTCAAATTGTGTTGCAACACCATAATAAGTAAATTACGATAAAAAACTCTTCGAGTAGCATCCCATTACCCCTCAAAGATATTTCATTGATAAATAGATTGTGTACATGCAGTGACGGATCTAGAAATTTTACTCAGGGGGGCCCGAGTTTAAATGTTAAATAACAAGCTTATTGTTTAAGTCGAAATACTCATTTTATATAAATATAAATATAAATAATGATACGTGTACCATAAAGTTTTTAAAGACATATAATCGTATCACCCTCCAACTTTATTTATTTTATTTTTTTTAAAAAAAAATTATATGTTAAGTTCAACATCTATAATTTATGGACAAATAAGTTCTTTGGTTGAAAATTTGATTTAATTTGAACTTTTGCACAACATTCCATAGCATTTGTGCTGATTAAAGCTTATCAAATGACATTTTTCTAAGAAAAAATAAATAAATTTAAAAATATGTGATTCACATAAAAAAAAAAAAGAGAGTAAAAAATCAACATTAAAAAATGTAATAATCCAACTAATAAATACTCGGTTTTATAAATCACTAAATCGATTACAATCAATAGTCCAAAAAATTAAATCATTATAAATATTTTCAAAAGTTTATCTAAAAATTTAAAATATAAGGATTGTTAGTATATTTTATAATATTATTAATTTAAATGAAAATAACATAGGAAATAAGTTTTAATTTGTAAATATTGTAAATATTTTTTACATTGCTATAAATATATTATGCTATTTTATTTATATATATTGATTTTTAATACGTTTTAATTATTAATATATTGTAATATTTTTTGTATTTCTATTTTATAGTATTTATATATATATGGATTTTTAAAAAAAATTGAGAGGGGCCCACGGGCCCCCCTGGGCCCCTTATCGCTCCGTCTGTGTACATGTGTATAGTTTGGACTTATGCAAGTAGAACTCCCTTATAGCTTAGCCAACATTATACTCGATGTTACCAACTACTTATCTGGCCACAACCAATGAACTTTATACACTTGAATCCCTCAAGCAAAACACATTACTTAATCCCTAAGTACTAAAACCAGTGTTTTGTGACCTGGACCGGACCGGCGGGTCGACCCGGGACCCGGTCGACCCGGAGCCGGAACCGGTCCGGGTGGGTTAATTAGACCGGGCAACAACGGACCCGGTCAAACCCGGTCAAAACCC